TCAAAATGCTCCATTTAGTTGTAAGGGGGATTGGTTTACCTTCTCCTCTGTCCAAGGTGTTCTGCTCCTGATCTAGGAGTTGGGCTCCATGGAAGGATGAGTGCCCTACCATGGAATTTCCCAAGATTTCTGTCTCTGCTGGTGAATGATCAGCTCAGCCAGCCACTTAGATGGAGACTTAACGGATCCCAAGGTGCTTTTTACTGAACAGCGCCAAGCACTCAGAGAATACCAAAAAATATGAGAGAAAGGTGAGATCTGGAGTTTCAGGAGAAGAGAAAAGGTGGAGGAGGGGCCAGTGCTGTGGCTCAGTGGGTTGAGTTACCATCTGCAGCATCAGCATCCTATATAGGCAATGTTAAGTCCTGGCTGCTCTGCTTCCAGTCCAGCTTCTTGTTAATGTGCCTGGGGAAGCAGTGGAAGATGGCCCAAGTCCTTGGGCCCCTGCACCCACGTGGGAGACCTGGAAGAAGCTCCTGGCTCCTGGCTCCTGGATGTTGGCTTTGGCCTGGCCCAGCCCGGCCATTGTAGCCTCCTGGGGAGTGAACCAGCAGATGGAATATCAGTCTTTCTCTCTGTCTCTCCCTCTTTCTGTAATTGTGACTGTCAAATTAAATAAATCTTTTAAAAAAAGAAAAGCTAGAGGAGAAGAAATCATATAAGAAATGAAACTGAAACATTTATCCAGCTGAAGAAAGGAACATGTTTGCTGACCATAATTTTCTACCTGGGGCCAAGGAGGATAAATTTAATTGAATCCAAATATGGTGAAATTTTACACTTTTAAGAGGAAAACAAAAATCCTAAAAACCTTCCAGACAGGAAAAAAAAACCCTGAAAATTAATTTTAAAAATGTAGACTGATATCGGACTTTAAGAACACAAGTGTTAAAGGACAACTTGTTATGAAAGTCATTATTGGAACAAGTGGTGAAATTTGAATAAGATCTGATGATTAGATAATGGAATTATGTCAATGTTAAGCTAATTGACCTTGATAATAGTTGTACCATTATGTAAGCTAATGTCCTTGTTTTTAGGAGACACACAGTGAAGCATTAGGGATAAAGAGACATCTTGTCTGTAATTTCTTTTCAAGAGAATAAAAATATAGGAATAAAATAAATATGGATATGCAGCAAAATATCAACAACTAGTGAGTGTGTGTAAAGGATATATAGAAGTTCTTTCTCTTATCATTGTGATTTTTTTATATTTGTTATGGGTTGAGTAGAATTTGTCTTCGTAATACTAATGCAGACGTTTAAACTCTGATGTCTTAATGGTTTATTGATTAGGGTGGAGATTTGATCTAATTGATGGCATCTGAGGAGTGGGAATGATGACAAGTTTTTGGTTGCTGGGGATGTGCCCTGGGAGTTAGTTCTCAGGAGAGGTTTCATTATTTGAGTTCAAGTTCAGCCTACGTTCTTTTCTTCTTTTCTGCCTCACCACATCAGCCTGCCATGAGCATCCTCCATCAGAGGCCAGACCAGGGGCTGCCCAATCTTGCAACCCCCACCTGTAAGCCAAAATAGACCCTTCCTTTCTCAAAGGAGTTCCTCTCCGGTATTTTATTTACGGTAACAAAAAAAGGACCAATACAGAAAACTGGTACCAGAAGTGATGTAGTTACTGTTAACTGTATCCAAAAATACGGAGGAGCCATTGGAATTGGTTTGCTGGGAAAAGTTCAGAAAATCCCAAGGAGCAGGAAAACCTACCATGTTGTAGGCTGGGTGTTATGAGCAATTCTGGTGAGTGTGCAGGAAGCCATAATTCTGCTAGACATGTGAATAGTAGAGGTGAGGTTTCAGGTGGAAGTGAAGATCCTCTTGGACATTGAACTAAAGATCATCAGGCAGATAATTTGATAAGAGCAACTGAGCAGGGGACATAAGACCCTTATCCAGGTGAGGGGCCAGGGTCCCTGATCTCCACCCAGGACCCACCCAAGACCATTGACTTTGTGGTTTAACTTGTGGACTAAGTGTTCTGATAAAACCCAGACAAGCTAAGAGTCTGGTTTGTAGCCACATGTGCAGAGAGCCAAAAGCTATGCAACTCCCAGCTGTCAATCACAGAGGTGAGTCCTAAACATCATGGACATAGTATTGGTCAACCTCCCTCATACTTTTAGGATTAAAGTCTCAAACCAGGAAGAAAGGTTGTCTTGTGCTCTCTCAATTAGCCCATTCCTTCCTTGGAATATATTTCAATAAACTTGCTTTCGTTTCTCTGACCTATAGTTCACTGCTGTGTTGGCAAAAGGGAACCAAGGCAAGCATGCCCCTGACAAGACCACCCTTTGTGTACTGTAGCAAGAAACCTGGCTGAATTGTGTCCCTCCCAAGAGTGGTTGTGGGAAGATGAACTTTAAAATGGTGGACTGGTCTACTTGGAAGAGAAGATTTCAAGGGTGCAGAATGTTCATTGGTGGAAGCATAAATGCTAATGGCTGCTCTTAGTATCTTTTACTGAGAGAATTGGGAACAAAAGGCGGCAGAACAGAAAGATTTAGAAAATGAGCAGCCTGGTCAGAGAAGGAATAAAAAAAAGAAAAAACACGGCATGTTTGGGACAGAAGAACACCACTGAGAAACTGCTTACTAAAGAGGTAGGTTGAGGCAAAAGGCATCATGTGTTAATGAGCAAGACAGTGGGAGAAAGACCCTGAAGACTGCTCAGAGATCCTTGGGCTGCCCCTCCCACCACAGGTGCAGCAAAAGCATAGAAGTACAAGCCTGAGGCAAGCTCTTCCAGCAAGGAGTTCCAGGACACCTTCTGCACCTGGGACCCACTCTGGATTCTGGCTGGCCTGTCCCGGTGCACCTCCTGCTGGTGGCCGACCTTGGCAGGGTCTGCAGGGTGCTAGTTTTGCAGGCGTGCAAAGCACAGTTATGAAGCCATGGCAGCTTCTACCAAGATGTCAAAGGGAAGCCTAAAAGGCCAAACGAGAGTTGTGCTGTGGGATTGAAGCCTCTGTATGGAGCAGTGCATAGTGAAGCTATGAGGGTGGAGCTACAAAGGAAACCCCTAAAGAGTAGAGAAGCCAATAACGTGAGACGTCCAGCAAGAAATGCCAGAAGTGGTAACACAAATCAGCCTGGGAAGGCAACAGACATCAGTGTGCAGCCTTAGAGATCAGCTACATGGGCAAAGACCAACAGGGCCTGGAGGTAGATGTGAAGGCCTTGAACTAGGTTTGGAAGCGTATTTAGGTAAACATGGGTCCCAAACAGAGATGGGTTCCAGGGCAGAGTTGCTGCAGGGTGCTCCACTGCTTAGTGGAGCTGCAGAGATGAGACTCTCAGGGAGAGAACTGGGGCCGGGGGGGGGGCAACCCAAACTGTTGGGAGGCCCTCCCTCAGCACAGTGTGAAGATGATGGATGTGGAACTATGGAAATTAATGTTTGCCCTGTGGGATTTTGCTCTTGCTGTGGCCCAATTACCTATTTCCTTTTCTCACCTGTTTTGGAATGGAAATGCTTTGCCTGCCTCACTGTTCTATCTTGGAAGTATGTAGCTTGTTTTTGATTTTATAGGTTCATAGCTTAGAGACTTTGCTTTGAATTTCAGATGAGATTGGACCTTGGATTTCTAAATTAATGTTGGACTGAGTTAAGACTTTGGGACTAGATTAAAAGTTGTATATGAAAAGGACATACATTTTGGGGGGAGCCAAGGGCAGCATGTTAAGGGTTGAGTAGAATTTTTCTTCCTAAAACTCATGCTGATGTTTAAACTCTGATGTCTTAATATTAATGGTTGATTGATTGAGGGTAGACACAATCTATCAGTGGCATCTGGGAGGCAGAGCTGAGCAGAGGGTCTGGGTCATTGGGGGTGTGTCTCTGAGTGATGGTTCTCAGGAGATGCTGGATTATTTGAGTTCAAACTCAGCCTAGGTTTTCTTTTCCTTCCTGCCTCACCATACGATCCGACCTCCATACTAGCCATGAACATCCTCCGTGAGATGCCAGACCAGAGGCCTGCCCGATCCTGTAAACCACCTAGAAGATGAAATAAGCCTTTTCTTTACCACAGAAGCTCCTCTCAGATAATTTTAAGTAACAAAAAGTAGACTAATAGTTCAAAATATTGTCAAAATTAAAATTCAGAGACAAGTATTAATTGTAAGTAAGAAATTAAGATTTTGTTGCTGCATGTCCAACAAGAAATCATATCATTTACTATTCTCTGTGAAATGATAAGATTAGGTTGATGAAATAGAAAAAAGTATCCTGGAGAGTCGTCTGTAGGAAATAAAGAATTGTAGTTGAATATGACACAAAATGAATGGTGCTGAGAATAAATTAAAATAGGGTCATTAGTCTCCTTGAAGGGTGTCCTTCTATAAGCCAATTTTCAGTAATACAGAATTACATTCATTTTCAGGGCTCCAGCCAAAGTTCTCAGATCTATCCATCACAGTTAGCTACAGTGGAACTGAGAATTGTGCATGAACATAATACTAAAATGCTACTTATTTTGAGTTTTAAAAAATTCAATTTATAGAAAGATCATGGGAACTAATTCTAGTTGGAGTGTGGAAGTGAGTATTATAAAAGCTTGAATGTACCTGTCCACTTTTCATTGCTATGACAAGGTGTTTGGCAGCCTGAAAGTCCCCAATTGGGTAACCATCTAGTGAGGACCCCTGGCTACGTCACATAGTGGTGGATGACGTCATAGCAGGATCTTGTGTGAGAGGGAGAGGTCACATGGCAAGACAGGAAACAAGAGAGTTGCAAGGCCATGCTCGTGTGTTTATAGCAATTCACTATCATGGGAACTAATTAGGGCTCCAGGAGACCTTAATCCCTCTAAGGGCAGTACTTCCAGCGACCTAACCAGTTTGCCCTATGCCCCTTCTCTTAAAGGTTCTCCAACTTCACACCAAGGACCAAGCCTGCAGCGTGTGAATCCTTTGGGGACAAACCACATCTGATAATAAGTGAAACTGAGATACAAGAAGAGGCAGAAGGAAAGGTAAGTGGAAGTTAATAAATATTATCTGAGGTTTGAAAATAAAGAAATAAAGAAGTAAATATTTGATTAAATCAAGAAGCCACTGGAAAAAGTGTTATACAAGGATACTCCAGGTAGAGGTACACATGCAAATAGGAAATTTAAAAATCTGTGGGATAGAGGATGTTCAAAATGATTCCAGGGAGAATGAGAGCAACGAATTGTTTCCTTTCGCATCAGCTTCTTCTCCTTGGTTCAGAACTTATTTTTTTGTGTTTAAGAACCAGTATCCAAAAGGCTTATTTCTGGAGCTCTCATTGCCAAGGTCAGAAATGGTGTAGGCAAAGCTCCTGTCTTCCACCATTTCTACCACACTCACTCCCCCACCCCAGCCCAGAGAACTCTGTGTGAGCAGTCGGTCTTGCCGAACAGCATCTAGGGCCCTTCCTGAGACGTTGTTCACATTGGCCACGGGCCCTCCATAATCAGTATTCTACACAGATTGTATCTCTTTAGAGCACATAGCACATGGCTTGAAGGAGGTGACTTCTGGACTGACTCTCAGCCTTGTAGTTGCTGAGCTATTGTGGTTGGAATGCTGTGTCCCTCCCTAATTCGTGTCTTGATATCTAAACCCCAATGCAGTAATTTTAAGACCTTTGGAAGTGATTAGGTTGTGAGGCCAGAGTCCTCATGAATGGGGTCAGTGCTTCCATAAATGAGGCTTGAAGGAATTGGTTTAGCCCTCCTGCCAGGTGAAGATGCAGAAGAAAGTCGGTGTGTGTGAGGAACAGGCTTTACCAGACACCAGCTCTGCTAGAGCTTTGATCCGGGCTTCCAGCATCCAGAACTAGGAGCAGTACATTCTGTGCTTATAACTTTCCAATTTTTTTCATATCAGCCTGAATGGACTAAGACACCCAACAAATTTGAAAGAAGGCCAAGATGAATCAGAACACTAGATACTCTAAAAGAGACCAAATTATCTTTTAAACTAATATTACGAAAGAAATATTATGAAATATCACTTGACTTACGCTTTTTGGAGGATGGAGTAGACTTACGTCCCTCTATTCCTCCCAATATCTACAAGTGAAAATACGGCACATTTTGTGTCAAACAAACATAAGAAAATCCTGGAAGGTGGAGAGGAGGTAGATCAACTAGGGATCCCAGGGCCTAAAGCATAACATGGTTGAAAGTTCCCTGGGTTTTAATTCGCCTCACATAGACAGAAGTTGGGGCCAAACAAGAAGGTAACCTAGAAACATCAGTGGGCTCAGATTAAACAATCTTCAATGAAAGTCTTTTCTTCCTTTAGCTGTAGGACCAGGAAAGAGGCAGCCTAGCAAGATAGAACACTTTTAGATAATTGCTGTACTCCATCCAAAAGCCACAGCAAAAAACTGAGCAGGGGCTGAATGGACAGCCCAGACTTTCAGACATGCTAGGATGCAACGAGGCACCCCAACATGTCTGCCCTGTAGGGTCATGGGAGACCACATAAGTGAGGCCCTGGGCTTCCACTCATGTGGTGATGATGGTATCCTTCCCTGCTGGAAGGGGCTTGAGAGCCTGGTGAAGAGTCAGGACTGTCACCACTGGAAACAAGTAATGAGAACACCACATTGTGATGTCAGTGGAGACCACATGGGGAACTAGAATGCTTAGACTATGGGTCCTGCCCAGGAGTGACAGGAGCTCCCCTGTCGGCTCCCAGCAGGTGCTGTTAGAGAACCTGGGCTTCTGCCTTCACTCGGCCGCAAGGCGTGATGCTTCTTTTCCTCCCACAGTCAGAGAAACCTATCTGAAGCAGAAGATTTAAGGTTTGAGTCTAAGTAGAAAATGTCCTCCTCCCTCCCTCCCTCCCTCCCTCCCTCCCTCCCTCCCTTCCTTCCTTCCTTCCTTCCTTCCTTCCTTCCTTCCTTTTTGTTTATTTGAAAGTTAGAGTTACAGAGTGTGAGAGGAAGAGAGAGAAGGCGGGGGGAGATATCACTCTTCCAGCTGTTGGTTCATTCACCAAATGGTCTCAAAGGCCAGGGCTGGTCCAGGCTGAAGCCAGGAGCCAGGAGCTTCTTCTAGGTCTCCCACGTAGGTGCAGGGGCCCAAGGACTTGGACCATCCTCTGCTGCTTTCCCAGGCATGTTAGTAGGGAGCCGGATTAGAAGGGGAACAGCCGGGACTGAACTGGTGTCCGTGTGGGATGTCGGCATCACAGGAAACACTTTATCCACTGTGCCACAATGTCAGCCGCAATGTCCAGATTTCAATCAAAAATCACTTCTCAAACCAGAATCAGGAAGACCTCAAACTGAACAACAACAAAAATGACAATCAATAGATGTAAAAATCAAGACCACAGAGATGTTAGAGTTATCTGACAAATATTTCAAAGAAGCCATGACAGAACACGCCAGTGACCAGTTATGAACACAGCTGAGACAAGTCAGAAATTCAGAAAGGCTCAGCAAAAGCAATGGAGTGTCTCAGAGAGCAAACAGAAGATACAATGAAAAGGCAAATGGAAATTTTAGAAGTGTAAATATAAAACAGAAATGAAAAATTCTGAGGGTGGGTTTAATGGCAGAATGAAGTAGAGAGCAAATGTAATCAGTGTAAACTGAAAGATGGAATAATATAAATTACCCAATATGATTAACAGAGAGAAACTCAATAAATAAAGAATAACACCTCAGGGAGCCTCTGGGGTCATAACAAAAGTCCTAACGTTTGTGTCCCTGAGGACCTGGAAAGAGGACTGCTCTGAAAACAAACTTCCCAAGTCTCGAGAAGTTGAGAAAACCTCAATCTGTTTTAACTAAGACATTCACATCAAGACATACAACAGTTAAATTTCCAAAAGCTTTAAAATATTCCAAAAATATAAAATTTCCAAAAATATATATAAAATATAAAAACTAAGAGAATTCATGAAAGCAGCGGGAGAAAAATGGCACGATGCTGATAAGGAAAAATAATTTGAATTTCAGATTTTTCATCAGGAAATCATAGAGACCAGGAGAAGGTGCTATAATATTTTTTCATGTGCTGAGAGAAAAGAACAGTCACCCCATAATTCCATATCCAGTGAAAATTTTCTTTAAGAATTAAGGGAAAAATCGAACTCCCAGAAGAAGGAAAACTAAAGAGCTAGTCACTCGAAGATATACTGTAAATATGGCTAATAAAATCCCATAAAATTAAAGGAAGTGGTCAATGTAGGAACACTGGAACACTAGGAAAGATAAGTCAAAATATGGGTAAAATATAAAAGGCTTTCCTTCCTCTCTTGTGTTTTCTAATTACATTTGATGCTTCAAGCAGAAAGTAAACACTTTTTGATGTGGTAAGTAAATAAATAGGAAATATTTAAGAAAATTATAAATGGAGAGGGTAAAGGGAAGTACATTTCCTATTAATTAGAACCAATTAAAATAATGATACTAGTTAACTGTGGTAGATCATGTATATATAATGTAATATCTAGAGTAATCAGAAAATTATGAAAAGAGATGGCCTCAAAAATGCTACAAACAAGTCAAAATGGAATTCTACAAATGTTTCAGGAATCTACAGGAAGTATTAAAAAAAGAGAATAAACATAAAAAATAAAATGGCAGATTTAAGCTCTACATTAATCATTTATTTTAAATATTTATTTATTTGAAAGAGTTACAGAGAGAGGTAGAGACAGAGAGGTCTCTCATGCGCTGGTTCACTCCCCAGATGGCCACAACTGGCTGGAGCTGCGCCGATCCAAAGCCAGGAGCCAGGAGCTTTTTCCATGTCTCCCACATGGGTGCAGGGGCCCAAGGACTTGGGCCATCTTCCACTGCATTCCCAGGCCACAGCAGAGGCTGGATTGGAAGAGGAGCAGCCAGAACGAGAATTGGCGCCCATATGGGATACCGGCCAAGGTGTTAACCTGCTGCACCACAGTGCCAGCCCCTATGTTAATGATTATATGAAATGTAAATTGTCTAAATATACCAATTGAAAGAAATTGATGGAGTGGATTGAAAAATATGACTCAGCAATATACTGTCTACAAGAAACTTACTTCAAATATGATATAGGAAGGCTGAAGGTAAAAGGATGGAGAAAGCTGATGTAAACAAAGGAAAGCATGACTGACTATATTAATATATGATAAAGTAGACTTTAGAACATATAAACAACAGAGGGGACATTATATAATATAAAAGTAACTACATAAAGAATCTCAAACGAATATATGCTAAATATACATTATATATGTCTCAAATGAATAAGTGCTAAATATACATTATATATGTATGTCATAGACATATAGTATAATCCGTAATTATAATTGGAGACTTTAAACCTCTTATCAGTAATTGACAGGACATACAGAAAATCATCGAAGATGAAAAGAACTCAATATTATTTATCAACCCACATAATTGAATTGACATTTATAGAACACTCCACCCAACAGTTACAGAATAAACATTCTTTTCAAGTACCCACAGCGCATGTACCAATGTAGGCCACATCCTAAGCTATAAGACAATCAAACATTTTAAAACAATTGAAATTATATAGAATATGTTCTCTAGCAGCAATGGAATCAAATGAAAGATCATTTACAGTAAGATAATAGGAAATACTTGGAGATTAAACAACACATTTCTAGATAATCCTTGGGCCAAAGAAATACCAGAGAGATTAAAAAATGCATTAAACAGAATAAAAATGCAATTGCAGTGCATCAAACTTTCTGAGACATAGCTAAAGCAGTGCTTAGAGGGAAATGTAAAGCATTAACTGCATATATTTAAAAAATGAATATAGATGGCAAATATTCACATGAAAGGATGTTCAGTCTCATTAGCTATTAGAGAAATGCCAATCAAAACTACAATGAAATGCCACTAGACAGCTATCAGAATGGCTAACAGAAAGCAGGGCCACACCAGACCCTGAAAAGGATGCAGAGAAACCCTATCACTTATTCGTTACTGGGTGAGGATATAAAGTATAAAATGGTCCCACCCCCTTGGAAAACTATTAGGCAGTTTCTTTTTCTTTCTTTCTTTCTTTTTTAGATTTTATTTATTTATTTGAAAAGTAAAGTTACAGACAGAGAGGAGAGACAAGAGAAAAAGATCTTCCATCTGCCGGTTCACTACCCAAATGGCCACGGCAACCAGAGCTGAGCTTATCCAAAGCCAGGAGCTTCTTCTGGGTCTTCTATGCAGTTATAGTGGCCCAACCACTTGGACCATCTTCCACTGCTTTCCAGGCCACAGCACAGAGCTGGATCTGAAGAGGAGCAGCCGGGACATGAACCCCATATGGGATTGTGGTGCAGCAGACGGGGCTTAGCCCACTATGCCACAGTGCCGGTCCCTAGGCAATTTCTTAAAAAATGGTACTACCACAAGACCCAACAGTAGCACACCCAGGCATTTATCCTAGAGAAATAATAATTGTGTTCACACAGAACCTTTACATGAATGTTTATAGAACTGTTATTCATAATAGTAAAAAACTAGAAATGATCCAAATGTTCTTCAATGGAAGAATGACTATCTGGTTTATAGTATACTACTCAGCAATAAGAAAAAATCAGAAACTATTGGTCAATGCAACAACCTGGACGAACCTCCAGAGGGTTATGCAGATATGCAGAGTGAAGGCAAACCATTCCCCAAAGGCTGTGTACTTCATTATTCCATTTATGTAATATCCTCTAGATGATTCTAGAAATTCTAGACTTGAACAGCAGATGATTGGTTGTGAGGAGTTACAGTGGGATTTCAGATTCAAGGGAGTTGGATGTGGGGGCAAGGGTGACCTGAGGAATTCTAGTCTTGATTGCAATGCTTCCTGCCTTGGCTCTATCAATGTTAACATCTTGTGATGCTGTTCTGTGGTGTGTAAGGGTTTATCACTGGGAGAAATTAGAATTTCACTAGGGAAAATTGGGTAAAAGGTGAATGGACTTTTTCTGTGTTATTTCTTACAAATGCATGTAAACCTATAACAACCTCAGAATAGAAAACGCAATGAAAAGTCCTTCAGCAAAAGTAATATTGTATAGGGGTGAGCATTTCCATGGCAATGAAGACAGTGCTTGGGCACCTGCATCCCATATCTGAGTGCCTGGATTCAAGTCCCAGCTCTGCTCCCAGTTCATCTTCCTGCTAACGTGTACCCTGGAGGCAGCAGGTGATGGCTTAAGTGCTTGCGTTCTCACCACCCTGTGGGAGGCCCAGATTGAGTTTCTGGCTCCTGGCTTTTGCCTGACATATTCCTAGATGTTGCAGGGATTTGGAGAGTGAACCAACAAATGAGAGATTTCTCTATCTCTTGTCTCTTGTCTCTACCTCTCTGTCCCTCAAAAATAAATAAATAAATAATACATAAATAAATGAATTCCAAAAAAGTAATTAGCTATGGAAGGCACACAGGCTCAAATGTCGTGATTCAAACAAGTTAATTTCTTGTTCATGTAACAGGTCCAGGAAGATGCTAAAAAAAGACAGGTGATTTTCTCCACATGATAATTTAGGGACGCAGGTTCTTCTGTCTTGTAGCTCCAACATCCACTAGGGCCTTCCGCAAGTGGTTGAGCCTGGGCTATTGTACCTAGGGCCTTGCTGGTGAAAGGAGGAAGAGGGCGTGGGAGTGGCCCAGCGTCCCTGAAAAGTCTTGACTGAGAAGTGGTTTGCATTTTGGGATTCATTCTGTGGCTAACATGGCAGCCTCCAGCCCCAAGAAGGTGTGGGGAAATGAAGTCTATTGCAAGAGCAGCTTCTGAGGTGAATGGTGGTCGGGGTGAACACACTTTAGTAATGGG